GTGGAGAAACAAATGGCTACATTCAGTAGTGTTTGTTACTATCCGCGGTTTAAGGCATCCGCTGCAGAGACTGGCAACTCCGCGGAGAACTGGGGACTACAGAATATAGCTTTAGTTAAAATCCGCGGTTTAAGGCACCCATGAGACGTTTATAATATTTACTTCGTGGGATAGCGAGTGAATACAATCTGTAGTGTTTGTTACTATCCGCGGTTTGAGGCATCCGTTAAAAGGTCTTGGCTACTACACGGAGAATTGGGGACTACCTTATACAGCCTGAGTTAATATCCGCTGTTTAAGGCAGCCGTGAGATGTTTAGAAAATTTACTTCGTGGGATAGCGAGTGAATGCAATCTGTAATGTTTGTTACTATCCGCGGTTTGAGGCAACCGTTACAGGGACTGGCTACTACGCGAAGTACTGGGGACTACAGTATATAGCATAAGTTAATATCCGCGGTTTAAGACAGCCGTGAGACGTTTAGAAAATTTCCTCCGTGGGATAGCGAGTGAATACAATCTGTAGTGTTTGTTACTATCCGCGGTTTGAGGTATTCGCAAGAAATTTGAGAAGATTTTTTTCTAGAGGAGACACTAAATGGTGTTCGTCACGATCCGCGGTTTTAAGCTTTCGTGAAGCGTTTTTATCATATATTCCGAGGGAATTGCATTATATCCGGTTCCGTTAGTATCCGCGGTTTAGTCCAATCGTTGCGGATAATGGGATATTTTTGACGCTGACATATTTCAATGTTCTCTATAAAAAAAAAATATACGATATTTTTTCCCGTATACCACTTCCATACCACGTGTCAGAGCACACACAATCACTCGTAAGCCAGCACGCAGGCATGAACTACAGTTCAAAAGTTTGAGGATGTAATGTAAGCAAGGGAAAAATATTTATTTCCCTAATAAAAAGTTTGGCGCAAAAGTAACGTCCGATTTTTTTTTAGATAGTGTTTATGAAATTTGTGGTTCTCGTTATAGCTAAGGCATGACACAATAAATAATTTATACCGTTCTTTTTCAGATTATAAACATATTTTTCATGATCTTCCGCAATGTTCGCACACATGTTCGTCCCATATAAAGATAACATTCGACTTATCTTACTGTATGAGTTTCATAAAGGTGTCAATGCAAGTGCAGGAGCAAAGTATATTCAGAGCGCTTATGGAGATGATGCAGCGAATGATTGAAGTTGCAGGATTTGGCTTTACCGTTTCTGAAGTGGAGATTTCAATTCGAAAGACGAACAAAAAAAGAGTCGTCCAAAAAATCTTGATTTCGATGGTTTAAATACTGTTTTTTTACAAACAATCCCGCCATTACATCTAGCGAACATGGAGAACAATTTAACGTAGACCATACAACCGTGCGAGGGCACTTCGATGTGGTGTAATGCTTAACAAGCATGTCCCATTAGAACAATTACTACTGAGTAGTGAGTTCAATCCTCACTGGGCGTTCTATACGTTCGGCATTGTGCCATATCCTAGCTACGCTTAGAAAACCACCAGGTACTCCGACGTGGTGTAATGGTTAACAAGCTTGTCTCGTTAAATCGATCCGTAATGAGAGCCCCATACTTTCGGCCTTGTGCCACATGAAAGGTACGCTTAGAAAATCACCATGTACTTCGACGTGCTGTAATGCTTAGCAAGCTTGTCTGGTTAGATTGATCCTCACTGGGTGCCCCATACTTTCGGCCTTTTGCCACATCTCAGCTACGCTTAAAAAATCTCCACGGACTTTGACGTGGTGTAATGGTTAGCAAGTTTGTCTCGTTAGATCAATCCGTAATTAGTGCGCTTTCGGCCTTGTGCCACATTCTAGCTACGCTTAGAAAATTACGATACAACCGTGCTAGGCCAATTAAAAAGGCTCGGAAATGTTTTAGTGCTTGGGAAATGTGTCCCACTCGAACACTCTCCAGAGAATCTACAACAGCGTGTTGCTTGTTGTGAATCATTGTTTTCATGACACCTTTAGGCAGCATTTTTTGTCGGCTTGATACAGGTGATTAGAAGTGAAGCCTTTGCTATAACGTTAAACGCCACTGATCGTGGATCAGTCCAGGAGGAAAATCAGTTCAACAATCAAGAGGTGCGCTTCATCCAAAGAAGATCATGTTGAGCGTATGGTTGGAGATTGAAGGAATTTTCTATTACGAACTATTAAACAACAATCAAACAATTACAGCTAATCTGTACTGTGATCAACTTCGTCGTTTGAAAAGATCTTTGAACCAAAAGCGACATTCCTTAGTGAAGAGAAAGGGTGTCATCATCCATCACGATAATGCTTGCCCTCGCACTGCTCGGTTGACTAAAAATCTTTTGGAAGAGCTTGGCTGGGAAATATTGCTTCATCCACCATATTCTCCTGACACTGCTCTTTCTGATTATCACTTGTTTCAGGGTTTACAGAATCATTTGGATGGTCTTAGGTTGGCACCAAGTGAAGAGGTTGAAAAGGAGTTGGATTCATATTTTCCTTCAAAACCTAAATAATTTTACCAGTTTCTTGATAGATGGAATGATGTTCTAGAAAGCTAAGGAGGTTATGTTAATGAATAAATATTTACGTAACCATGGGATTTTTTTTATTTCTAACTAGCACCATGGCCCGGCGTTGCCCGTGCTTGATTCAAAAATCGTACGACTCATACAGCAATCGCTATCACTTGACTTAAAATATTTTTGCCCTTCCTTGCCTTTAAAGGAGTGCCCTTTGCCGTGCTGATGTTGCTACATGCCTTACCTCTTCCCTATCTCACACTGCGAATTTTTTCTAAGCTCTATACTAAACGTTAAATCTGTTACGAAAAAAGAACTAAACAAAATGAACACAAAACGATCAGCTTTAAAAAAGAACTCGTAACTGGAAAAACCGAATGAAAAAAGAATGTTAACAACAAATACTTTTTCACACTCAACCCAGTTCTGCGGAATCAGAATCAACGTTGAGTTTAAGCAAGCAAATGAGCCAATTGGAGTAAAGTGCCATGCAGATTTAAATTTTTGCCACTTGTGACGATGGCAGCTATCGATTTTTTTTGCATGCGAGCATGCTAGTTAACATTCGTGTCAGTCAGCTGTTGGCTCTCACGCTGGCCAATAGAATCTTCCTGCCTATTCGTGGCAGCCAGCTATTGGCTCTCACTCTGTTCAGTAGAAAAAGGCCACAAACTACATGAAAACTGCCGTAGAATCATGAAAAAATCGATTATTTCCACTATCGATGGGAGTTGGGAAATGCAAGGTCGGTGTAGGCCTTTCTGCTAACTTGGAGCATGTGCATGTAAATTTTGGTGACAATCCGTCGAAAATTGGGGCCGTGCATTCTTCACACACACACACACACACACACACACACACACACATCCTGCCTTTTCTACATAGAGATATAGACTTTGAAATCAGACATTACTTTTGCATCAATCTGATACATCTCTGATACGTCATGGACATTGTCATATCCATGATATAATAACACCGTATTTCATGTGCAGTAGAAAAGACAGAATAGCTGAACAGAAAAAGAATAATAAACTTATTTGGTTCACGTACATACATGCCTCACACATAGAAATTACAACATATGCAATAGAAAAACGGTGTGTTAGAAAGGGGAACATTACTTGGAATATTTCCGGAAGGGAAAACTGGAGTTACGACGGTTTCTCTACGAACGAGGTTAGGCCATGTGATTTTTTTTCCCTGTAAGGCATACCGCTGTGGGCAAGCGACGTCTTTCTTCTCTGGGCTCTACATCAAAACTCCTCACGTAAATCTATATTCTGACATCATTCACCGTCCGTAACGGGATCCTCGTGACTATCTCTACAAGAGTATCCCTGTTAATTTTTTTTTCAAAAATTGGCCCTAAATGTAGCTGTTTTGTACTTTAAATAAGAGAAAATCATTATACATAGTTAAAAAAGTGAGACATTAATTTTATTAGAAATTTTATTATGAGAAAAAGAAAATAAGCAATTTATGAATAAATATTGCTCTCCACTTTAGCCTTGATTACTGAAGCACACATTTTCAGGAACCTCGAGGTGGCGTAATGGTTAGCAAGCTTGTCTCGCTAGAACAATTACGGCTGAGTAGTGAGTTCAATCCTCACTGGGTGCCTCTTACTTTCGGCCTTGTGCCACATCTGAGCTACGCTTGGAAAATCACCAGTGAAGCGCACATTCTTGGCATTCGTTGCAAAGGTTTCTCAAAGGTTAAGTTTGATAATTCCATTTTTTATCAATGACACTAAGAGCTCTTATTCATTTTAATTGCGCACTTCCGTCTAGTTCATCCCATGTAATTCTGTGGGTTGGTTCAAACTTTTGAACTGTAGAGTGTTCTGACCATGAGACCCGGTCGCGAATCTCACCATGATCAATTTGTCAGGAAGGAGACTTCCTAATGTTATCGGTCTGTAGCGGGGGACGATCCCAGTGCGTGGCATCTTTGGAAAGTGTCTGAAAACCATACCACGGTTTGACCCAATACTTGTAAGTGAAATTAGATAGACGGAACATTTGCGGGCCTTCGAAAGCTGTGCTAGCACGAAGTCGCAAGTCATCGTGACTGAGGGTTTGAGTGTTCTGGTGTTGTTCAGATTGTTGATCATTCTAGATAACAAGTTCTCTCCTAGAAACTAAGCTCTGCTCAGCATAGTTGGAGTATAAACCACAGGTTGGTTCTGTGGGTGTAGAACAAACACAGATGTGCCTCAGCGAAAGTCTGCAATAGGGATTGGCTAGCCGCCTAGTAGGCGGGTATCCTCAAACACGAGTAGCCAGCTATTATATATATATATATATATATATATATATATATATATATATATATATATATATATATATATATATATATATATATACCAGTAGCAGTAAAAAGAACTCAAATGAAGGCAACCGAAGTTGTGGTATTAACAGCAAAAGATTGAGTGTGATACTAAGAACACCCACATAGGAAGGCTTACGACTAGATTACAATGAAACACCGGGCTCTGTACGATCATTGAAGTTAAGCAAAGTCAAGCCTGGTCAGTACCTATATGGGTGACCGTTTGGGAATACTCGCTGCTGTAAGCTTGGGTGTAGGGATGGTGTGCTGTAATGGATAATAGCACAGAATTGTCAATGGGAGAGCCGAGTTCCACTTCCCGTTGAGTGAGTCATATTCACTTACATGTAAATGCCCTTGGGAAAGGCATGAATCCACCTCTTCTCCCTGCAGATATGGGTTAATTAGTAAGATTTGGTCACTAAATCATTATTATCTTAAAATCTAGTCATATTTTTCTCACTTTAAATAATCCGCAAATGATTGATAATCCGTAATAACGAATCAATCAATACGAGGTGACTCTACTTTAACTAATATTAACTTAGTTTGGCACAAGGCTACGATTATCGGGCGTCGGATGAGGATTGGTCCAGCAGCTGAATAGTAATGGTCAATTAGACGATGTTCACCAACCATTACCTCACACCAAGGTGCCTTTTTTTTTTTTAACTAAGGTTATATTAGACTAGCAGTAGAGCCCGGCGTTGCCCGGGGATGTAACAGTATGAGATAGATCAAGTATCGACCATCATAAAGCCTTAAAAATAAAAATTGACAAAGATTATTGTTTAAGGTTGACGGACACGCATGTCTTAATTAGTTTCTTTTTCTATTTTTTTTTTTCAACGAATTGGTCAAACCCAAACTCAAACAAAAACATTGTTTTCAATCGTTATGAGTCTATCGATTGAATAGAATTTCATTATAAACAATTGTCTTGTAAATGGAATTTTTAAAGCAATCTGAATGTAAAAATAAAGAAAAAAGTGTGCAAGACAATAAGAAACACTACCAAAAAAAAAAAAAAAAGTGAAGTTTTGTTGAAATCGGTTGAAAAATGAAGGAAATCCGATCCCATATATAAACGAACATACATGGGCACCTCGACGTGGTGTAATGGTTAGAAAGCTTGTCTTGCTAGATCAATTACGACTTACTAGTGAGATCGATCCTCACTGGGTGCCCCATATTTTCGGCCTTGTGCCACATCTAAGCAGGGCTTAGAAAATCACTATAAACGAACACACACACACAACGTGGATTTTTATCACTATAACTCGATATGAATTGTCCCTTTTTCATTCTGGTGACAGAATCGTGCTTTAAAATTAAATTTTTCCAAAACAATTGTGTTTTTTCCAATTTTTGGCGCTGTCAGAACCACCGCAAGGTAATTTTACGTAGTCCTGGGAAGTTTTGTTGAAATCGGTTGAAAAATGTAGGAAATCCGATCCAATATATAAACGAACACACACACACAACCTGCGTTTTATAATACAAAGGCATGGATCTTGGGAACCTATTGTAGACCAGACTAAATGAATAGCAATGTTCAAACAATTAAGCTTCGCTTAACATTAATCTTTGCTGAGTGTTATTTATGTAGCCTTGCTCAGTTTGACAGAAGGACATGATCATTGGGCAATCAGTGAGTATCGAACTTACTAGTCATAAGTAATGATTAAGCAGGTTTACCAACGTATGCACATAATTATTCGCTAAAACATAAAGTTTTGACAGAAAGCACTTTGTTTTCATTTAAAAAGGAACTTATTTTTTGTGGCACAAGTGAGGGAGTGGAAAAAATTTTGTCATCGCTGTCTATTCCATTTTAGCTAATTCGATTTACGATCCATTCATTCTGAAAACTGACACAAACACCAACATAACTCATCACATTTCATCCGATCCGAACAAGAACTTAAATACGGCATTTTACGGCAAGGAACTAATAATGCACCGTTTATTTCATATATCAGTACATTTGTACGGAGCACAATGCCGAAGGAGTTGGTGGGGAAGGCTGGTCAACAATGTCTATCCTATTCCTAGCTAATCCGAATTACGACCCATTCACTTTAACAAATGACATAATCCCCATAAAAAATAATCCCTCCCTATTCAATCCGAAAATGTACCAACATGCAGCATTTTTGCAGGGGATCTAGGAATACACCCGTAATGTTTCGTAAATTTCTGGATATATTATGTACATCCTTTTATTTTCACAAAATATATAAAAATTTACAAAAATATTAAAAGTAGAAGGGATGAACCTATTTACTCAAAATAAAGTAAAAACCAAACATTTAAAAGAAATTAAATCAGTGTTCGTGAGGACGCCTACAGATCACAAATTGAAAATGGCCGTTGTATTCTGCAGATAGACAATATCAAGAAACTCACACGCTAAGAAAGCCTCCCTCTTTGTTGTCAAACATTAATCCACTTAACGATATTTCATGTTACAAATATACATTTGAATATGGTACAAGGCCGAAGAGAAAGCGGAGAGAGGAGGTCTGCACTGTCTTTCCAGCACCTAGATTTATTCTATCAAAAAAAAAAGAAAAGAATGGGCACATGGCCTAAAACGAGGGAAGGGGTTTTAGGTTGGTCTTCACTTACTATAATATACCTAGCTAATCCGATTTACGACGCATTCACTCATTACAATTTGCACATTCACCGCAAGAACCCATCAGTCACCAATCAATCTTCCATATACCGTAATGCCGCAAAATCTCAGGGAACCTAAAAACCCCACCCATGACAAAATATTTGATGAAAATTTATATATAAAAATCTATAGATGATTTACAATGACAAGGGAGGGGATGAATCCAAAAACGAATTAAATATCAAATCAAACTAAGGATAACTGATTTTTGTAGGACCCGACCACCCCTCAAAGAAGAGAGGACGCTCTATCCTGCCCAAAGATAGAATCAAGAGGCTCTCTTGCTAAGGGAGGAGGAAAGGAGAAAATATATACGGACATGGAGAATAAATAAAGCTGAACCAGTCAAGATGAAAGGAGGCTAGAAATAAACTGGGGAGGCTGAGAATGTTAACTTTAATTATAACCAAAGATGCAGCCGAGAGCAGTCTGTGAACAACATTGACTCACATTAACTAGGTGCACAAATATCTTGCCTAACCAGGTGAGGGCTCCAAAGGAAACCACACCGATACGAATTAGATAGACCTAAAAGAGAAAATAAAGGCTTGCCTCGTTCACAAAAATCAAGCTCGCATCAGTGTCCCACCTTTCGCTAAAGTCTGTCGAAACCAACCGTTTTCTATCAGTTCTAATCTTCATCTTGAGTTGATGTTCAAAGAATCGGATCAGATCCTGATAAGAAAGATGGTTGCCTCGCAAGACTTCCTCCTGTCGCGTGGCCTCCAAATCCCCATTCGAGCCGTGGCCAACAGCGATAGAAACAACATGTGTTTCACCCCAGAATACGGGTGCTACACATTGTCACACGCGTATGCATGATCAATGAGCACGGGCTTTTCGGGAGCGAGACGAGCCGTCAACTCGCCGACATGGTCCCATAGGGTACGGATCCGAAAACAAAGGCAGAATGCGTGCTGAGGTCACATCCTTCACAGTCTGACAAATCCGCTAATGAAGGCCTTGCCATTAAGTGATAGCCTATTCCAAACTAGTCGCCAGGTAAGGGAAAACTCAGGGTTGCTGATGTAACCCGCTGCTGGCGCCCAAGAGAAGAAGGAACGGAACTCCTCTACCAAGCCGCTCACGAAGCAGATCCTTCGCGACCGTTTCCACTCTCCCTCGATCGAAGACTCTCCTAGGCCGGGAAAGGTCACTGAACCGAGGAATAGCCCATAAGGCTGATTGACACTCGAGAAGGCAATCCGATTGATCCCGGAGTTTACGACGGCGCTCAAGATTGGGGGGTGGATAGTAAGGAAAGGGAAAGCGTCCCTTACAATCCCCACCGTAATCGAATCTCCTGCCCATGATTGGCGTAGGAATGCCAGCCTCGAGGCAAGTTTGTGACTCGCCAAGTGCAGCATTCCCAGCGAATGTCTGTCCTGCACCTAGTTAATCCGATTTGCGACCCATTCCCTCTAACAATCGATACAACCATCACAAGAACCGATCCACTTCCACCCAATCCCAACTTTTATGTGCTGTGTCCATTCAGGGCGTAGGTGATCATGGCCCTTTACAATTTCCTGTCCTTTGTAGATCTCAGTAAGTTTTGTCTTTTCCTTTTTTTCTTCCAAACCCTGTAAAAATATTTAACGCACTGCTTTCCTCTGTTCCTAAATATGTCCTGTTAGTATCAGATTTTCCAAGCCATCTTTCCTCATTACGTGCCCCAGTAATCTGAACTCCACAAGGACGTAATAAAACCAACATAATGATAACATTTTGATATGTACAAATATTATTATTATTATTATATTTGTACATAATAATAATAATAATAATATTAACAACAGATACAGAAGCGATGGCAAGATAAACAGCTTCATGGCCAATACTCTGCCTGTACCAAACAAGCTGACGTAGACAAAACCTGTACCCATCAGTGGCTACGTAGTGCAGGGTTGAAAGCTGAAAGTGAAGGTTTTATCCTTGCTGCACACGACCAATGCTTGTTAATTAGGAATTATCAAGCACCTATACTAAAATATTGTGTTAGCCCAAAATGCAGATTCTGTGATAAATATCCAGAAACGATTGATCATCTTGTATCAGGTTGCACGATATTGGCACCCACTGAATATAAAACCCGGCATGATAGAGTAGGCCAATATCCGCTCTGGAAAATTTGCAACTTCTACGGGAAGGAAACTGAAAGAAACTGGTATGAACACTACCCTGACCCGGTTACGGAGATAGGACGTGTTACAATTCTATGAGACTTCATAATACACACTGACAGAATAATCAAAGCCAACTGCTCAGATATTGTTATTAAAGACCACAAACAAAAAAAAGTGCCTCCTTACTGATATGGCAGTCCCTGCAGACTTCAATGTATCTTTGAAGATATTCAAAAACTGTCAAAATACAAGGACCTTGAAATAGAAATCTCAAAAATGTGGCATATGGGAACATCAACAATCCCTGTTGTACTTGGATCCCTAGGATTGGTTGGAAAAGATTCTAGTAGACTAACTGAAGAGATTCCTGGAAGTCAATGCCTCAAAGTGATTCAAAAATTGTTCTGACAAGTACAGCCCACACTTTACGAAGGGCT